ATTTTAGTCGTTTAACTATATTTACAAAATACCATATCAAAAACCACTTCCGTCTTTATCATTTTTCAACTCTTAAATGCTTGAATTGGAAAATAATAATTTCAAGGCTCTTTTTCCGGGATTTTCTCTATTTTTTAGAGTGTCGTCCAGTTTTTCTTTTAACATCGTCAACAATTAAAAAAAAATCAAATATTACAATTATTTTTATTATTAACACAAAAATATATATTACATGTAGTTTAAAATCATATTTACACTAGAATTAGGCCTCCTATAATATTGCACAAAAAAATTCCAACAACATGGCTTGATTGTCCATAATTTTTATAGGAGTTAAAATACATCCAACATCTTGAAGTATCTTTTAAGTATAGAAAAATACACCCAACATTCTTAAGTATTTTCTAAGTAGTATTTATTATATTAAATTAATTTGTGATTTATCCATCACCCCAAAACATTTTTTACTACTTAAACAAGTATTTTCTAAGTAGTATTTAGTATACTAAATTAATCTGTGATTTATTCAACACCCTAAAACATTTTTCAGTACTTAAAAGATACTTCAAGATGTTGGGTGTATTTTAATCCATGTAAAAACTATGGACAATCAGACTATGCAGTGCGAATTTTTGCGTGATACATTGTACGAGGCCTAATTCTAGTTTAAATATGATTTTTAAATACATATACTCCTCTGGTCCTTAATATAAAACCTATTTAACTAATTCAATTAGATTAAACAAGTTAGGTAAATTAGTTAATTATAAGAAATATGACATGTTTTTCCTAAAATACTATAATCATCTTCCTCAATATTCTTCCTCCCTCACTTACTTGATTATGGTTAAAAAAGTATCCATAAGGGTAATTTGAAAAAAATTGATAAATATGAAAAATAGGTCTTATATTTAGGACCAAAATTAACTCAACAATTAGATCCTATATTGAGGACCGAAGGAGTAATATATACTTGTGTTAATTATAAAAAGCCTAAGAAAAAGTATGGCTAATAATGGCCTTAGAAAAAAGGAGAGATGGGGAAATGGACATCACGCGGGGTGGGGAAAAAATTCATTTAAAGTTGCGTCTTTCCTACATAAAAAGAGGCCATTTGGGCACTGAGCATGAGGTGATCATGCATGGGTTCGATGAGCACCTCATGCGGACTCTGTCATACGGAGCCATAGCGACAGAAGATCTTTGGGAAGTCTTGTTGGTTTTGGTGCCATGATAAGAAAGTAGGGTGAGCCAAAGAAAAAGAAAGTAAAAGAAAGGAACTAGGCTTGGCCGTGGTGATTTTCAAGGTCAAAGTACTGAAAACCAAATCGATTAATAAACTGATTAAAAACAGTAATTTGAATTACGATGATTTACTCAGGATCAGACCAATCATAATTAAAATAATATTTATAGCAAAATCGTTAATCCACAAATATATAGAATATTCGTGTATAAACAACGCACGATCCAACAAATGTCATTTCAAGCTTAATAAAAGATATAAAATCTAACATGCATGATCTGGAAACTTAATTTTACTTATGATTTGTTTTGCTATGTCTTGTATGTATTGCTTACTGTTCTCTTTTTTTTTTTTTGGGCCATTAATCTTGTACCGTTGACTGTCCTTGCTTCGTTTCTTTGAATGATATTTTCCTTTCCAGTCAAAGAAAGGGTAGTGGGATATGATGTTTGAGAATTGTCATTTAGCAAAATGATGACTTGTTGGTCAGAAGTAAACTAAAGAGTGTCGTTGGGGATGATGGCTAATTAAGTTCCAAATTTAATTAATGCGACTTTTACTAGTCATTTTGAGTTTAGATTCCTTTAGGGTAATTAAATAATTCATTCCTTCCACATTACTCTATAAGAATAAAACGGTAGGAAAAAATAGATGCCTCACTGTTGAAGTCTTCTTCACTATTGAAAGAGAGGCGCAAACATAGCAAGCACTTGGGGTAATTAATGACGTCTTCACTACTATTGAAAGAGACGCGCAAAGATGGTGCTTCTTGGCCAACCTTTGTATACGAGGGAAACGAAAATCTCATAGTACAATTTTTCTTCTTGTCATTGTACAACATAAGGTTAAAACTCGATCGATAATTCGTGATTAGGTTTAGAGACTTGACTTTTGAGTATTCTCGTAGAGACTATACAGTTGCCCATTGGGTGATTTAATTATTAATTAATGGGTGGAAGAAAAGAAGTCACCAATTAATAGTTAATGGGATATGACTACGTCCAAATGACCTAATCGGATGGACTTGTCACTTTTCACTAAGCTTTGACTTTTTTTTTTGACCAGCAAGCTTTGACTTATTGCAAAGGTTGTATTGGGGTCTTGTTTCCGCCGTAGAGAGACCGTGTCTCTTTGGCTTAATATAGAAAGGGTGCCACTAGAATTCTTTTTCATGTCTTGGCTCTTCCACGTATGTACTTCATCAGTTCAAATCATATACAATCTCTAAAAGGATTACATTTTGAACACTTCAATGGGTGCAAAAAAAAAAAAAAAGATGAATGGCTGGGGAGTTCGACAAATTAATTAAATTACTTATAGCGACCTTAATTCAATCATTTCAAGTTTAGTTTTTTATAATATAAATAATTTACTTATCCTGTTTTATTTATAAGTTAATTACTTCCAACCTGTTTCATCAAAACAGAAATAATAATAATAATAATAATAATAATAATAATAATAATAATAATAATAATAAAACCTCGTTAACTATGCCTTGAAAATAAATGAATCTAGTTATTTTTTTTTTTGGCCTGCAAATGAATGTAGTTATAATGAACTAATATTTTATACCCCGTATGGTCCCAGTTATAAGCTTTAAATCTTAAAAAATATTTATTCTATTTTATAAGTTTCAATTTGGATTTGTCTCAACATGTAATGTATTTTTTTAGTTTTACATTTAATTATTTATTATCTCTCATTTGTCATACTTTCTCTCATTATCTCTATATACTCTCTCTCATCATTTTTCTCATTTATTATAAGGCTATATTTGAAAACAAAAATTTATTTCTTACTTATTCATTATTTTTAACTAATTTTAACAAATTTTTGTTATACGTTACTTGAAGTTTGTCATAATGACGGGATAGAGTAAAAAGTTAAGTTTGAGTATTACTGCCAACATAAAAAATTTAGTAACAACTCATTCTATCATACTAAATAGTAAATACCAAACACTTCAAGAAAAAATGATAATAATCACAACAATTTCGTTGACTAATTGCCTCATTGCTATCACTATCATCTGAAAAATTACGGTGCCTTGCTTATATTAATTCATTCCCCTGGTCTTCACATATCATGCATTTTTCCAACATTAATAAGGTAAAAGGACTACACTAATTTCATGGGAAGAAATTATGTTTGGTGGACCAATTACGGGTATGTGGAGGTACAATGTTTCCGTTTTGACTTGTGATGTCCATTTTCTTAGATGGAAAAACCATTATGCCTTGCGTCCCACGTCTAAGGGAGCTCTCTCATCTCATCAACATTTATTTTCATATTGGAAGAATCACTGTGAGATGATAAAAGAAAATATACATATATGTTATACATCATTATAAGAAAAGAAAATACTTACATCAAATTCTTTTTGTTATATTTGTTGTATCAAGTTTTTCAATCACATGAATATGTATCGTATATATTTTTTCATATGGGTTTAATAATTTAATGAAAATGCTGGTAAAAAAATAGTTTAATGATAATATTTTACAAATAGTAGACATGGCCAAATTTCATTGAAAAATTTCACATAATGGACATGAGAAAAAGAACTTATTGTAAGTGTTGTCCTATTAAAATTTTCAAATATAAGAGAATAGTTTGAATCTTGTCTTTATAGTTTATCCCACAATTCGTCATTCAATTGTTAAAATATTTTTTGATAATTATATTTCTGATTATCTTTTTTAAGACGCACGAGATTTCTCCATTTATATTTAATTAGTTGTCAATTTTGTTTGGAAATTGACGTGAAAGGAGAGGAAAGAGAGTCTCATCTACATCTGAAGATAATCGATGACGTTCAGATTATCGCCTTCTTGACTTTTCTTTCCTTGATGTCAACACATTATTGGCTAAAATATACATTTGATCTTTTACCTTTATGCAAGATTTCAGTTTTGTTCCGTAACTTTAAAAAAAAGTATACTTTTAGTTCTTTAACTCCAAAAACTGTTAACAAAAAAAATGATGATATTAAGTTCTTGAATGCTGATAAAACATTACTAAATACTAAGCTACATATGCTGGTGGGATAGAAATCAAGTTCTAGACTCAATTATAAGTAGTGAAAGGTTCGTCAATGCAATTTTTCTCTTAACATTTCACAAGAAGCTACTTAATATATAAAACTCTAATTCACATATTCTAAGTTATTTGAATAAACAATCTTTAATTTTTCTAATTACAGATGATTAAAAAGGTATTAACAAGTAATTAGAGCCTTGAGCTCAGGCCAAAAAAATTAGAGTCTTGAGTTAATTATAATTGCATTATAAAAATAAATTAAAGGGACGTTAATTATAGCTTTTATGAAATGCTAAGGAAATCATCACCCCAAACCTTTCACTTGTTATTTTAGAATGTTATTCATTTCGTTACTTTTATCTCATAGTTTAATTTATCCTTTTATTTTGGCTTAATTCAAATTAAGGGGTCCGCTTTACTTTCGGTATTTATCAATTATATGAATAACAAACTTTTCGTGAGAGAATAAAACGCTATTTTTCGTTAGTTATATTTAGTATCCGACACACACACACACAAACCATATCATAATTCACAAAAGCTAATCATGAGTATATTGAGATGCATCAATTATATAAAACCACTCCATATATATGTTTTTACTCATAGTAGTGTTACACAGGAAATCAAAATACACACACATACATATATCATAATAATTATTATTTTTTCTTTGGGACAACATAGTAATTTTTCCTATAACATATTATAGCTACCGAGGATATTGCTCTGAAACTGAAAGCTGATTTACTGATCCGTCTGATTTGATTCCTGGTAAGCTTCTCCAGATATAAAATGAAGGTTCTGAAGGAACAGGAAGAGTGATGGAATAAGTACTCAGCATTGGAACAACGAAAGCCATTGTTGGCCTGTCTTCTGCATTTTCTTGAACACACAGTAACCCTATGTGGATGCATCTCATTATTTCATTTCTCGACCCAGCATCCTCCATCAACGTTGGATCCACAATATTTGCCAATGTCCCTTTTGTCCAGTTTTTCCAAACCTGAGACAACTTGTTCCATAATTAGCTACTACCACATCAATTTTATGTTTTTTTCTCTTTCTGAATATATGTTTCAGCTAAACATTATTGAGAAATTCATACCTAGTTTTGAATTTAGTACTAAGATTAGATTTGGATGGACATGCTTACCGCGCTTACTATGTGCTCCCCATTTTCTCCATTCTGAAATTCACTGTTTTTCTGCCCACTTATAATTTCTAAAACCAATACTCCAAAACTAAAGACATCTGATTTAGTTGAAAATGTTCCATTCATCACGTATTCTGGTGCCATGTATCCACTGTCAAATATTTTATGAAAATTATGAGTATATTTAAATTTAATTAGTCAAGTGATATCTCTACTGGCCGCTAGTGAGAAAAAAAAGGTCAAGTGATATCTCCAATGTTATAACACTAATCTAACACGTCAATAAACTTACTAGGTCCCAACAATTGTACTTGTCTTGGCTTGAGTTTGATCTACCACAAATAATCTTGCCATGCCAAAGTCTGATATTTTAGCATTCATCTCTTCGTCTAAGAGCACATTGCATGCTTTGAGATCACGATGAACAATTCGTATTTGAGAATCATGATGAAGGTATACAAGGCCTTTGGCAATGCCTTTTATGATTTTGTAGCGCTTTTCCCAATCCAATTTCACCCTTTTGACGGAATCTACATAAATACACATGTTACTAGGTGACTCGTACTTCCTCCGATTCAAAATATAAGATAAACTTTATCTAGTTACATTAAAAATTAGTTTAAATTAGTTTAAAATAATAAATATGTAATGCATGTATTTTTTTTCCAAATATATCCTTATTAATGAAGAAACAAGTAAACAATGCAATAAATGAATCAAAGAGGAAAGAGAATATATGGGGTGAATTGAAGGGGGAAAAAACTCATTAAATGCTTAGACAAAAATGAATGTTATCTTATTAAAAAAAAAACAAACTCTTCCAATAAAGTTTAGCTTATATTTTGGGGGAGCATATATCTAGTGATCCTTTGAATTCGACCTGCCTAAAAGAAGTCAAAGAAACTTGGCAATAGGTTAATCTGAAATAGAAGAAAAGCTTATATATGCACGTAGCTGACATCACATAATCAAACATTAATATTGACTTACCAAAGATGAAGCAGTCAAGGCCTTTGTTGGGAACAAACCCGTAAATAAGGAGCTTTTCTTCTTTTTCGAGACAAAAACCTAGTAACCTCACTAAATTCCGATGTTGTAGCTTGGCCACCAGCAGCACTTCATTCTTAAACTCCATTTCACCTTGCCCAGAATCTCTACTCAACCTTTTTACAGCGATCTGTTGTCCATTATATAACCTACCCTGAAATTATGTATTTTAAAAAACAATCAAATACGTGAGTGTTGATATAATATAAAATACAGGCACGGGAATTTTCCGTTTGAATAATATTTAACACTGCATCATTTAATTTCTTACCAAGTAAACAGGTCCAAATCCACCCTGTCCAAGCTTATTTGCATCAGAAAAATCATTTGTTGCCTCTCTGATGGTTTCAAAGTCCATTTGCAATGACTCAACGGTCATGATTTCATCTTCATCTTCTCCGGCTACGTTACGCATGGCAGCACAGGTATATGTACGTAAGAGGGTTAAAGCGACATAAGAAAAATTTTTTCAACTAAAATAATGTTGGACATGATTTTCCATGACTCCTTGTTTTGTATGTTTTTATTAAATATTGAACTTAGACTAGAGTGGCCATAACAAAGCTTGAATTGTGTGGTTCACAACTTGTGTGTGTGTATGATAACTTTCCATACTTTAATATTTTATATTGAATTGAGATTGATTGATTATACCTATAATCAATCAATGTTTCAACTCAATTATAACTCAATCTCACTTGTAACTTAGTCCTTATAATTTTATTTAGATTGTAGCTCAATCTCTATATTTAACCATTTAATAAAAAATTAGTCCCCATATTTTAAAAAATAAAATTAATATTTGTTGAATGTTAGGGCAATGGTTGTGTTTTAGGAATTGAGTTGCAGCCGAGTCAAAATTTTAGGGGGTGACTTGAACCCATTTAATGTATAGAAATTGAGTTGCAATCAAGCTAAGATTAAAGGGGTAATTAAAAAAAATTAATTTTCCCTAATTTATGATACGTTGACTTACTTCGAATAGTCTTCTTTGGCCTCCTGGCTTTAATGATAACGATGAAGATGACCAGTGCGATGAACGCAACAGTTGGCACAACCATGGCAAAAACAATTCCTGTTGTGTTTCTCTTTCCTGTACCAAAAAACACGATTTTGTGCTCATAAGTATAACATATAAATCGGAGATTGCCCCATTCAACCAAATCCTCGAGAGACATGTAAGTAGCTAGAGATTGCCCCATTGAAGCTTTTACCCCGTGTGTGTGTGTGTGTGTGTGAACTGCATGCGAATATTGATACCTTTCTTGGGTGCCGTCGGAGGAGCAGGTGGCGGAAGAGGAGACGGCGGCGACTGCAATGATATGAATGGTTGTGCAGCTGCAGGATCAAAGAAGATGTAACTCTCATATCCAATCTTGCAACTGGGTCGCACCACTCTGCCACCTTTCATTCCATTACAACATTTCGGGATTTCCGAGATAGCCCCGTTCAAGCAAGCTCTGCAAACGTTCTGTGACAAGTCCGGCGTGCACTCTACCAGACCATATATCGTCTGATTGCTCGGACCTGTCGCATTCGCCGTCGCGAACTTCCGAACAGAGTTGCCGGAAGAAGCCCTGTCTCTCAAAAGATTCATCATCTTCGTCACCACGCTCATGAACTGGTCTTTCTCCAACGCCTCTTGTGTGTTCCACAAATAGAAATATGGCGATGTTTCCATGCGACCGAATATGGTTCGGTTGGAGTACCGCAGGAGGCAGTTATCGTACCAGCCGATCGCCTCCTTCACGTTAGGGCAATCCTGGAGAAGAGTAATCCTTGCATCTGCGAGACAACTGCGACAATATGGTTCCTTAATATCTCCTCGGCAGAGTGCGATGGCGTTAACCCTGTCGGAGTTATTGCCGGAGGAGAAGTTGTAGAAGCCATAGTCGATTTGCATGGTGGAGATATTCATCAAAAGGTTTTTGAGATTGGTCTGAAAGGTACTGTTGCTATCATCAGTAGCCCCATTACAGACAAATTTTAAGAAGTTTGGTTGGGATTCAGTGCCCTGATGAGACATTAGGGTTAGGGCAAGGAGAAAGAAGAGAAAGGAGAAGAGCCTCATTGTGACGATGGTAAGAACTAAGAGTAGTAGTGTAAGTGTTTGAGATTTGGGTGATGAGGTTTGTGTTGTGTTGTCTCTATTTATAAGATATTATGTCTGCGCCCTAAATTAATCAATTAAGTCTTATATTACCTCCAGTCTTAACTATAAGATTTTATTTACAGACTATAAATAAGATTTTATAATTAAAACCGAAGGTAGTATTAAGGACCTGAGGCAATATATCGTAAATGCCCCTATCTCCACGTAACCTTGTGGTTGGGGAGATCAGGCGCTAAGTCCAACCTTCCTAGAGTTTACTTTAAGTTGCCTTTTAAATGTTAAATTTGTGTGTATTAATCCCGGATACTTATTATTAACATGTAATAACAACTTTATATAAATTAATAAAATTAGGTATTTTTTGCAAAATTTTAAAATTATCATCCGTAAAAGTTATTAATTAGAATGAAGAGTTCGATTAATTAGTCAACAAGTTTTATAATTAGTTAGAGATGCAATGTGTAAAAGATTGATACTTTAGACAAAATATATGAATTATATTATGAAATATGTTAGCAATCTCGATCAGTCTCGATAATAAACGCGGACACACATTATTGTATGGGGATCTAGCCAGTATTATTATAATTTACTGTATGTAGTTGCTATTTTTAACAGAAGATTTTGTTTATTTGTTTCAATAACACATAAAAATATTTTAAACATCAATAAAATGAGGTTCTGAATTGTGAAAGATAAATCAACAATCAAAATTAAAATCATTTCAAATATTGATTGTCACCCGAAAAAATAGGACTAATCTACAAATTTGAAAACTGAAGCCGTCCTTTTACTCTTCTATTTTACATGAGATTTCATTTTGATCTCTTAATTCTATAAACTATCTTTTCAGTTTTTTAACCCCAATGCACTTAACAAAAGATATTCAGATACTGAAATTTTAAACATCAAACAAATTGTTCAAAAAAATTATCATATTAATTATAATTTTCAAAATAATAATATTTGTCACAAAAATCAATATTTGTGACTAATGAAGTTAGGGTTAGATAACCAAAAAAAATATTTTTAAAAATTAAGGGATCAAACTTAAATCTTATATAGAGTTAGAGAATTAAATGAGTGTTACCTATTTTAAAATATTAATGAGTAACCATTTACGCCTGTATTGATAACAAACACAAATGTCACTAGTAAAAATAGGAGAAAAAGATAAAAAGGAAAAAATTTGGTGAAATTTGAGTGGTTACAAATTCATCATATCCTTTATTCTAACTGGGGGAAAGTAGGATAATAACAAATGTAAAATTGTATAGAAAAAATTATAAAATTCACTTATAATCCTTAAACAAACTCGAGTGATATTAATAAATTCGTATGAATAAATAAGATTCCTTTTGTCCTTCCACTAAATGACATCCGAGGTTGCTCAAAAGAGAACCTCTTCACTTCTTATCTTCATTGCTAGATTAATTTTAAACGTTCCAAATTTAATATCATGCAAAAACATTATTATAACATCGAATAATGTGTATAATTAAACTATTAAAATATTACCTATCAAAACTGCAAAGGATTAAAAAAATCAACAAAAATATTCACCCGTAAAAATCATATTTTAACAGCATAAAATTATTTATATATTCTTTATCAAAAAAAATTTATTTATATATTTTTGGTTATTTCATAATATAATTTTTTTATAAGATATTAGATCTCAATTACTCCCTCTGATCATTTTTATAAAAGCTTGATAACTAAATTACATGATTTAAGAAAATAGTTAAAATTAGTTAAAAGTAATAATATGTAATAAATGGACTTTATAATGCAATATATAAAATTAATTAGGAACAAAATGCAAAAAAAAATTAAATATTTAAACAAACATATGTGTAATCTTTTAAAATAAACCAAGATAATTGAAATTTTAAGCTATTATAAAAACGACATGAGGAAGTATTTAAATTTCATCTAATGATAGAGACAAAAAGTGGAGGGGGAGGGAAGTTGAAAGGCTTCCAATGTTGATTGTAAGTGCTCCTTCTATCTTATTTATAAGTTCCAAATTTAGGAAGAGTAATAAGTTTTAATTTGAATTTGTGTCAATATTTATTGTATTTTTTTAATGTTGTTCTTCATTAGTTTTTTCTTGTCATATTTTGATTTCTCAAACATTCTGTTTCATCCTTTTTCTTACTTATTATAAAAATTTATTTTAAAAATAAAATTATATTTCGAACTAATTTTTATTAATTACTCCTCCGATCCTTAATACAAAACCTATTTAATTAATTTGACTAGATTAAGAAAGTTAGATAAATTAGTTAATCATAAAAAATATGACATGTTTTTCTTAAAACACAATAATCATCTTTCTTAATATTCTCCTTTCTCTTCTACTTGATTATTATTGAGAGGGTGTCTATAGGGATAATTTAGAAAAATTGATAAATATGAGAAATAAATATTATATTTAGGATCAAAATTAACTCAATAATTAGGTCATATATTAAAAATTGGAGGGATACTTGTTATTCAATGACTTTTCTTCCCATGAAATTGTCTCTTGTGTGACTTTCCCAATTTATTGCGCTTTTGACGGGCAAGGACAACCTAGTCAATAATCCATCATCCATGAGAAAAAGACTAAGGCGAGGGCGGTCCCGTCTTACACGCCATACAAAAAATCTGTGCAAATCTATCTAGTTTTTTTTTTCAAAAGAAAAAATTATTTTCTGGTTGAAAGGTAATTTTGTTCTCAAAATATTCACACAAAAAAATTATAAATATATTAAAAAAATTTATTCAATGTAGTCCTAAAAGTATTAAAAAATGAATGATATCGCCATATTTCAGTTAATGTTAATTTTTTAGCTGAAAAGGTGACAAAATTGTTTTTTTTTTGTTTTTACTCGTCCTGGGTGAATTTTTTTTTACCATTCCTCTTAAATAATATTAAGTAAAAAAAAACTTTTAGATACATACAGTTCCTTAATACTACTTCTTGTGCTAAATATAAGAATTACTTGGAGATTTAATTTGATTCTGAATATAAAAGCTTAATCTATTTTTTTCCATATTTATTTATTTATTTTCTCAAAATAGTCCCCATTATGATTTTACATGTTTTCCCGCACAAAAAGTATGATTATTTTTTTGATAAACTCACAAAAATTATGATTATACACGTTAGAGAATTTTTATTATTCTAATACAAATAATTAACAAAAGTATTTTAAGAAAAAAATACATATCTATTACAAATAACCAGCTTAACTAATTTTTTTAAATATTCATGAATTAATTATCTATAGTTATTTAACTCTTATATTAAAAATTGAAAGTAGTAGTTTCCAACCAAAAATTACCCTTGACTTTTTTTTTCCCAGTAGGGTCTATCTATTCTTCCGTATAACATCTGATTAATTACTTCCTTCAGTCTTTTATACAAGACACAATATATTTCTCTAATTTTATTTATAGGATAGAGAGAGAGAGAGAGAAAATTTGTTAGTACTATTTATAGGAAAGAGACGGAAATTTTTCATATACATATATAATTTTATTCTTCATTTATTATGTTGTTAAATTTATATTCATGTAGTGTGTAGAATGTATATTAAATATGGATTAAGTTGAAAAGTTATTAAATTTTAAAGTTAATAAAGTTTAAATTTTTTTTTGTTTGTATAAAACACATTGAAAAGTAAATTTTAAATAGAATTAGATGAGTAATTTTAGAGCAAGCATAGTCCTATTCATAATATACACTTTTGAATCTCTGTAATTTTTTTAGCAATAATAATTTTATTTCCACTCAAAAAAAATACTCGCTTAAAATATCTAAAATTTTAACTAATTTTTTAGCATTGATTATCCTTTTTTCCTACTTATTCTCTCTCGCCCACTTTTTCTTGGGTTATTTGAAAAACGAAAAGAAATAATTAGTGGGGAAGATGATTATCCCAATCGAGCCCAATGGTCACACTTCAAGAACCGTAATTAAACATTGGAAGCTTTTAGATTCGCATCGGTTTAAATGGCCACTACATGTTCTGCAATATTTTCTAGTAATAAAACTCAAATATATATTCCATTACAACAGCTGGAATTACGTTAAAGTCCTTACTAGTACTATAACTTAAAGCCAAATTTATATTGCCATTAATCTGCCAGTTAAGCTAACTATTTTTATTGGAGTGTGGCGCCTGAGTTTTATTGGCTCCTGGATTTCCACTGTATCGACCATCTTGTACCTATAAATAAGAATATACATTAATTATTAATTAATTAATTAATATAAGTAACAAAAGTAAAAGATTGAATTAGTTTTATAATATGACATTAATTACCGTGGTACAAGCTCAGATGGCAGCTGTCCCTCAAAGTTTTGGAGTAGGAATGCCAATGCTGCATTCATCTGTTGCTGCTGTGTTCTGCTCTGTTCTTGTTGCACTTTCACTTTCTGCACTTCATTCTCTAACTCTGCACACAACCACTCAAACTTAATCCTCGATGTTTGGCAAAAAACCAAAACATAATTTTAAAAGTGATTTTATGACATACCAAAAAAATAGCATGAGAGGAATTTTATTTTGATTTTCATAAAAACACTTTTTAAATGTGCCAAACATTCAAATCCAATTATCTCCATTTGTAACAAGTCAATAATTATGATCCATTTTATGGTTAGATTTAGCACACTCAAATGGGAAAAATATTAGATTAAATATACAAATCTACCTGTGAAATATTCCCTTATACGGATTTGATGCTATAAATTTTTTTTTTAATGTAATAATATACATGTATGTTCTCAAATAAAACAAAAAAGTGGCATGACCGATAATTGCAGTTAATGTTCATTTATTTTATGACATTTTGTTCGAGTGGGCCCATTTACTTTGTGTGGTGTGGATGTGAAATGTGATTTGGCGTAGCTGTCTTTAGCCCAAACGGATTAAAATCTTCGTGGTAGGCCCTGTTATTGGGCTTTTATGAACTTAACCCAGAAATTTTTTGGGAAAATTGCTGATAAAAACCCCTCAATATGTAAAATTATAATTTGAGATTTTGAATTTGAAAAATAGTAAATAAGGATTGGGTCTCACTTTTGCAAATATGAAATGTGAGTGAAATGTCTAAAATATCCCTCAGCCAAATTGTGATTTCATCTACTGAAATTGTCATTTGTTAAAGTGAATTTGTTGTTTCCCATAATCAACTCGTCATTTGACATACTCTCAGTCAAGTTGTGATTTGATCTATTGAAGTTATCATTGGCTAAAATGAACTTGTCATTTTTCATAGTCAACTTGTCATTTGACTGAGGGGCATTTCAGACATTTCGTCACAATTTTATATTTGCAAAAGTGAGACCAACTCTTTATTTGCTATTTTTCAAATTAAGGGTCCCAAATTACAATTTTATATATTGGGAGGTTTTTATTTGTAATTTTCCCAATTTTTTTTATAAAAGTTGTTAAATTTAACATGCAATATAATATAAATTCTTGGAACCTCTTGCATTATACTCACTTGAGTTTACTTCATTCCAATTTATTTTATTATTTCTACAAAATAAAAAGGATATATATATAGATTTTGTAGCAAAATTACCTTTGTTTTTTACCCCAACATTTAAATTAAGAGAGAAAAGTAGATATATAAAATAAATTAAATAATTATAGAACTCACCAGAACATGAAATATTTGTTGACTTATTAGTTTCAATATTTTTGGCTCTCCTGGATTTAAGTAGGACCACAAAGATGAGCACTGCCAGCAACACAATAATTGGGACTCGCACGGTAATTATAGGTCGGGATGAGTTGCACCTTCCTGCTCAAAACAACTTTGGGTTACATTTCTTTTTCTTGTTGATGATTAGATTATATATGAAATCAAAAACATTTTGATATGTTATAAATAGGGTTAAGGTGCGGATTTAACAACCATGTTTTACAAAAAGGACAACTGGCACCATTTACTTTTGAAGGGTGCTAAAGTAGACACAAACATTAAAAAAGAGTGCTTTTTAACCACAGCCGTTGAAAGGCCTAACGTTGACGGTTACAAGGATGGGCGTGAGAAAAATTTGACCTAAAATGATGAAGTGGCAGGGAGTAAATAGTGACATGGCAGAAAGAAAATGGTGATGTGGCTGAGACTAAGGTGATGTGGCTGAGACCTAAAAATTGGATTAAGTGTGAGGCGCGAAATCAAACATTAAGAGTAGGAGGCAAAGCGTCAATGGGGTAAGGAGAGAACGAGAAAGCTGAGAATTAAGATTCTTGTAGGGTTCTGAATTGGGAAACTAAAAACGTGAGAAATCGAGATAGAGGATTAGCAAGTGTGGTCCATTGAAGAGTATGTGATTGAAGATTCTCGAAGGATTACAGACGAGGGAACAGTAGATTCTTCACAGGTAAGCATCGATTTAGACAAAAAGTTGTTGTATTTTTAAGTTGAATAGTGAAATGGCGTCGAAGCCCTTAATAATTTGGGGATTTACTTGTTGCAGTGCGAATGGCGACAAACAAGGGTGTTAATGTTCCTGTTGAACCGGGCAATGTTGACACAAATGGAGGAGACGACACGGAGGCCAAGAAGTACGAGACATTGGAAGAGAAGCATGCGAGGCTACTTAAAAAGGTGAGTTAAATGTTTGATTTGGCAAAACGAAGTGTGCAAAGGACGAAGGAAAAATTGAGTGAGGGGCATGGAAGCATAGGTGAGTGGGTAAGAAGAAGTAAGGAAAATGAGAGATGGGTCTAGGCCAATCAAGATGAGAGAGAGGTAGGGGGCAATGAAAATGACAAAGAGAAACAGGGCAATGAAAATGACAGAGATCCAGAACAAGAGGTGATTGAGTGTGTAGATGTAGATGGTTTAGAAGAGATAGATGATGATGGAATTGAAGATTTACCTGAACATAGGGAGGAAGGGGGAGATAGTGAGGATGACGTTGTTAGAGAAATTGATAAAGGGAAAAGAGTATTGGTTATGGATGAGGATGAAGATAAAAGTGAGGAAGGGGGAGATAGTGAGGATGAAGAAGGTTCTGATAGCGAGGATTCGAATTATGTTGGAAATAGTGCCAGCTCTGACACTGAGGAGAGTTTGGTGGATGATTTTGAAGTATCTGAAAATAGTGAAGAGGAAGATGAGGATATGGGCCTTAATGAAGATTGTGAGCCTCCAGATGAAAGAGTTGGGCTTAGCGTGTTGGAGGGCTTGGGAGACCAGCCTTTCTTTATGTTAGGCATGACTTTCTTAGACCTAAATGAGCTTAGGAGCGCCATAGACAGCTATGCTATTTCGAAAGGGGTTAATATCAAAATTATTAGAAGTGAGAAAAGGTTATTAAAGGCAATATGTGAAGAGGGTTGCCCATTCACCTTATATGCATCGAGAGATGGGAATAATGTGGGCTACAAGGTGAAGACATTGTGCAATGAGCACAGGTGTTGTAGGGTTTTCAAGAACCCTAGGGCAAGTGTGAAGTGGCTAGCTGAACACTTCAAGGAGAAAATACAGGAGAGACCTAATTACAGCATATGTGAAATGAAGAATGATGTTGAGCGTGAGTTGAAGGTCCACGTGAGCTTACATAAGTGCAAGAGGGCAAAGAGGAGAATAATACAACACATGGATGGGAGCTTCGTAGATGAATTCTCCAAGTTAGAAGCTTACTGCAATGAACTGAAAGTGTCAAATCTTGGGTCAGATATTAGTATGGAGATAAGTAACGAGGCTTTGGAACAAGGGAGAAGAGTTTTTAGAAGAATGTATTTGTGTTTTAATGCAGCAAAGGTATGATGTTTAGATTTCTGTCACATATGGTATAATCTGTTAATTTGTTGTTTTATATTTCAGTTTGTCCTGATGAGTCAAAATTGTTGGTTTAGGTTAGTTGGAAAGTTGGGTGTAGACCATTGATTGGAGTTGATGGAACATTTCTAAAAGGTAAAGTTAGAGGGATTCTGTTAACTGCTGTTGGTTTAGATGCTAACGACTCATTGTACCCGTTAGCATTTGCTTTGGTTGATAAAGAGAATGGTATGAATTGGAGTTGGTTCATTCAGTGGCTTAGAATATCACTTGATCTTCACAATGGTGGCAAAGTAACTTTCATGTTAGACATACAGAAGGTATGATTAGTTACCTTTGCTGATTTACATATGACTTATGTGGTTTTAATGAGAACATTTAATTGACTAGTTCTATACATGTAGGGATTACAACATGCTGTGACAGAGATACTTCCAGAGGCCAAGCATAGACTTTGTGCAAGGCATATTTATGCTAACTGGAGCACAAGGTGGAGAGGAAACGAGATGAAGAAAAAAATTTTCTCTTGTGCTTGGAGTACGTTTGAAGAACAATTCAAAGACAATCTCAAAGCACTTGGAGCACTTAACAAAGAGGCAGCTGAAGCAATGGTGTCATACCCTATACCTGCTTGGGTAAGAGCTTCTTTCAGTAATAGATGCTTGTCTTGGGTTGTAGACAACAATATGAGTGAGAGTTTAAATTCTTGGATTGATGAATATTGATATCTACTTGTTATTAGAATGTTTGATGGGATAAGGGTTAAGATGATGGAAAAATGGGCTGAGAGTGAGCAAAATGTGAGGAATTGGAAAGGCAACTATAGTCCAAAATGTCTGGACTTATTTGAAGCAAATAGGTTGTTGTCCTCTACATGTAGAGTTTTTTTCAATGGGGATGAGGGATTTGAGGTGACTGAGGGACAAGATAGGCACACAGTATGTCTCACTAGGAAAACGTGCACGTGCAGGGCATGGGATTTAACTGGAATCCCATGCTAACATGCTATTCATGCTATGTATCACTGTAAACTGGAGCCCCTCACCCATATCTCATGCTATTACCACAAGGAACCTACATTGCTAGCTATAGGACAAAGTTTGCACCTGTGAGGGGCAAACAATTCTGGGATACAGAACAATTTATCCCTATGCTACCACCACCTGAGTGCACATTGCCTGGCTGACCAAGGAAAAAAAGAATCAGGACAGAAGAAGTAGCAAGAAGGACAAATGTTGCCTCTAGGAAAGCTACTCAAGCTATGTCAAGTAAAGCTGGCATGAGCAATGGTTCAGAAACACCACTTGTTGAAAGAGTAAGCAAACGGGGACAAGTCAACAAATGTGGCTTCTGCAGGAAAGTTGGGCACAATAGAAGCACTTGCACAGAGGTAACTTGTGCCAATTTCTTTATATTCATTTATTACAATAACTATAAGCTAACTTTTCATTTCTTTCTAGGCACCTCCCTCAAATAAGCCTCGACCTGGTAGAAGGAGGAAAACAGCCAACCAAGGCACAACACAGCAACCATCCAATCCCACTTCACCTTCACAGCAACCACATAGTCCACCTACACAACAACCACCCCCTCCACCTTCACAGCAACCACCCAATTCCACTTTACCCTCCTAACAGTCGACAAATCATCCTCCATCGACACAACAACCACCTAAACCTTCCAAACACATAGCAAGAAAGAGGGTTGTCTACAAGCCCAGAGTTGAGTGTGGAATGGGTATAAGAATTGATGAGGGAACTGGGAGAACCGTCTACAATGTAAGTATTACTAGACACTCTTCTCTTCCATTTTAATTCATGCAAAGTTACTGTCATTTAAGTAATGTTATTGACTTATGCAGCTTGGAATGCGTTCTGAGGTGGTCATTGAGGAGGGTATTGCACAGGAGTATATACAACACTACGTGGACCCTCAGAGTAAATTTCCAATCCCAAATGAGAAAGAACTTCGACTGTCACGAGCTTTAAAACGCACTGTACCAGAGGGTTCCAGGAGGATACTATTCACTAGGCAAGGGACCGCTGTTTCACAACCATCAACACTACCATTCACACCTCCTGGGTTGATGTGGAAGGGCCAACGAAGCATTTCAAGTGCCCACCTCCAACTGCAAGCCAAATGATGAAGACAAGAAGCAAGACCAACTCCAAGAGCTCTGACATTTAGATTGCTTAGAAACATTTAAGACTATGTATTTGACTATTTTGTACTACGTATTTCGTTACTTGGATTATGGTTACCTTATTGCCTTTTACATGGGATTATCACTTCCTAGGTCTAAATTTTGGTGAACCAATGCTTAGTCTTTCAGATGGATGCCTTCTTATTTTGCAAGTCCTATGTGATGTAACTAATTTAGCAACATTAGTGGCATGTACAAATGTCCATTATAATTAATTAAGGTTATTATCTTATGTTACATCTTCAGTTCCTCATTATTAATTAGGTTACCTTTACATCTTATTTAATTCATATGTTCTTCTCTTCTATTATTTCAATTAACATTATTGCCATCAAAATTACCACCCTTGTTATATAATTGTTGGATCAGTAATTGCTTCACCACGTGAATAATTCTTGAGAGAAGACCAAAGATCAGTTCTTGAATATGTATTCAAGAAGACCAGTTCTCAAATACGTATTCGAGAAGCCCATTTCTCTAATATATATTCAAGAAGACCAGTTCTCAAATACGTATTCGAGAAGACCATTTCTCTAATATATATTCAAGAATATATTCGAGTAGCTTATCGATAAGTTCATTTATCAAACAGCTTATCGATAAATGTATTCTTATTTATTCTCGAATATATTCTTGAATATATTCTTGAATATATATTAGAGAAATGGTCTTCTCGAATACGTATTTGAGAGCTGGTCTTCTTGAATACATATTCGAGAACTAATCTTTGGTCTTCTCTCACACTTCACATGCGCCCCACCTCGCTTTTGATCGACGACAAAAGCCTTCGATGACAACATTGACCTTCGGCATCAACTTTTATTTTGTCGACACAACAGTGCCACGTCACCATCTCATTCACCAACGTGTCGTCCATCTTCTCGACACCGTGTCATTTACAAACGTCCATTTGCCTGAACGTTAACTCGAGGCATAATTGCTACGATAAATTACTTCCGGGATATTTAAGAACAAACAAAAACTTCCGGGGCAATTAAGAACCTTAACCCTAATTTTTTCATCAAATATACCACGAAGTGGTCCATAATTGTTACAAAACAGCTATCATAACCCATATCTCCTGACATACAAATATATTGCAATCAATTTCACACACTCCTACTTTGTCAAATACAAAGCAACTACTGCAACCGATATCATTACAGACACTAACATTGCTCTTCTAAACTTATTTTCCCTCTTCCTCTCTTCCACATCATTCAGCTCATGTCTGCATTTAAGCTTCTTCAATTCACTGTGAATTACATTGAGCTCTTCACTTAGTCTCCGCCCATGCTCTCCTCTTTGGTTCTTGCTACTTTCATCATATAGTCTGTCAATATCATCTAATAGCTCCTTGATCACAGTGTTTGCCCTCTCACCGAAGTCTCTATCATGCCAAGAGAAATAGCCACATCCCCCATCCTGTCGTGTTCAATACCAACATTTCAACCACGGAACTAGGGAAGAAAATAGCATTTTTCACAGCAAGAAAACCACTTCATACCTGGTCATAGTTTGGGCAGCCATAAAACCTCCTACCTGGGTTATTATCAGTCCACGCCGTCCATCGGGGAGCTACTAACCCATGATGGCAATACCTCATCGGCGGTTCATAGTTGTCCTCATGACTAGGTTGCCTCAATAAAGCAACCCTTCTCTTGTATCTTGCCGTCGATGAGGACGATGATGATGCCATGAACTTCACTTTTAGACCTCACTTTGTGTACTCCCTGCGTCTTTGCCTTCTTCGATGGGTATAAATGTGGTTACAGGGAAAGGCGTTTGAACTTTAATAGAGTCATTGAACTCTCTACCTGCCACGTCTGAAATGGTCTGAAGCTTAACACTTGCCAGGTGGAAAAAGATGTGGAACCCACTTACACAAAGTGGACGGACGTTTGGGCCTTCCAACGGCTGTGGTTAAAAAGCGCTCTTTTTTAATTTTTATGTCTACTTTAGCACCCTTCAAAAGTAAATGGTGCCAGTTGTCCTTTTTTAAAACATGGTTGTTAAATTTACACCTTAACCCTTATAAATATGAAATGATACAGTTTTGAATTTTTATTTATGATTTTTGGAAGAAAAATACTTTGAAAAAGCATGCAGTTTTGATTTTTTTTTTAAAGCTCAAAATTACAGCATTCCATATCGGTAACTTATTTTATGAAAAATTCTAATGATCAGTGATGTGTGTGTGTGTGTAAGCTTATTGCATTAGAGAGTAGTCATAAGAGACCTTTTATCGCCAATCACACACAAACATTTTAATCAATAAAAGTTTCACAAGATGTGGGTGGGATTAGGGTGTCAGCTACCTCTTAATTTTATAATTTTTCCCAGATATTTTTTGTGAGCCTTTTTTTATTATTAGATTTTACAGACATTTTGGTATCTTATTTATTAAAAAAATGGTTTAATTTTTAATTTTTTAATATTTTTTTAAGATTAATACTCTAAATGGTTCGGTTTGTTTTCATCTTAAAGTATTAAATCTTTAAAAAATTATAAAAAAATTAAAAATTAAATTTTTTTTTACAAATAAGATATCAAAATGTCATTTATTTTATGTAAAATCTAATGGTAAAAAGAAACTAAAATTTTTTTTTTAAAAAAACCCCAAAAGCAACGGGTAGCTGCGAGGCGGCTAACAAAACGCAGCTCACGCCTCAACTCAACTAAGTAGCCTGCAATAACAACTTACGATATAGAAAACAATGACAACAGTTGCATGCTGCTCATTTAATTGATTAGATTATCTACATCGTACTCTCCCGTCTTAAATATAGGATAACTTGTACTACAAAATGGTTCATATATTTAGGATAGGGGATTGATAAATGATTTTTTTTTTTTTGAGTTAACTGTTAAGTGATTTTTCATATAAATATCTACACACCTTGTTTGGGTACGGAATCAAGAACTGCCGGAGGGGATGGTGGCAACGGCGGTGATGTGAAAGATTATGAAGCAGCAGGATCGAAGAAGCTGTAGGTTTCATATCTAATGTTGCAGCTGGGTCTTACCACTCTTCTACCTTTCATTCCATCGCACCATTTCGGGATTTCAGAGATTGCCCCATTCAAGCAATTATTGCAATCCTTGCTCGACAAGTCCGGCGTGCATTGTGCAGGACCGTATATCGTTTGATTGCTCGGTCCCGTCGCGTTCGCCGCTGCAAACTTCCGAACAGAGTCGTCGGAAGCAGCTTTCTCTCTCAAGAACTTCATCAGCTCTGTCACCACAAGCTTGAACTGGTCCTTCTGCAACGCGTCCTGTGTGTTCCACAGATAGAAATATGGCTGTGTTTGCATGACGCCGAATATGGTTCGGTTGGAGTATCAGAGAAAGCAGTTATCGTACCACCCGATTGCTTCTCTGACGTTAGGGGCACAAACTTGGAGAAGAACAACTCTTGAATCTGTGAGACAACTGCGACAATCTTGTACCTTAACATCTCCTCGGCATAGGCCGATAACATTGACTTTGTCAGAGTTTTGGCCGGAGGACAAGTTGTAGAGGCCATAGTCGATTTTTGTGTCGGAAGAGATGTTAAATAAAAGGGATTTTAGGTTGGTTTTGAAGGTACTCTTGGTGGTCTCATCGTCGACGGTGCTGTTACCGCAGTAGAATTCAAGAAGTTTTGCTGGGCATTGGTGCCGTGATGAGATATTAGGGTTAGGTTGAGGATCAGAAAGAAGAAGAAGAAGAGAAATCAGCCTTGGAGAAAGCATAGCTATTGCAAATGTACGTATTTTTCTGGATGGAGTGTTTTGAGATTTTGACTCTTCCCACTAGTTTGAGACTTTGTGTTGGGCTTCTATATATATAGTCCTTATTGTAGGGGTCCTTCTGATGAAAGAAATTCTCAATACTTTTTATAAGCTAAGACATAGTTTTAATGTGTATGATTGATTGATGTGTGTAAATTAGTATAGTAAGCATAGAAGGAGTGTATATACGTGGGTGTGTGTGTGATACCTTGACTATTATCCCAATTAAGCATTTTGTGCCTTCATTTTGTGATTATACTTCATTATTTTAAACCAAATCACGAGAATAAAGAAACTCGATTAAAATATTTACCAGTAATAATTATGTATTCTTTAACGATTAACCCTAATATTTACTTAGATATTAAAAAAAACAAATATGTTTTTATATAAAGAACCAAAAAAAGGTAAACGTTTTGAATCCTTAATCTTAATGTGTGTGTGTATTCTATTATTACGTTCTTCTCATTTAAGCCAATAACCTTAATCTACTTTCAAAGTGGTGAACTTTTTTCTGCAAATGATTTTTTTTTTTTTTTTGGTTTCCGGGGGTTGGTTCAAAGTCCAGCTGCTTTGGTATGAATTTGAGATATGGTAACCTGACTATTTGGTGGGATTTAGCATTTAATTAGTTAGTATTTCCTCCGGTTTTTATATA